CCCGCCGCGTCCCGTCCGGTCCCGTTCCGTTCCCCCCGCTCGCCTCGCCCCTTGTTCTCGCGCGTCGTTTTGCGGGCCGCGGGCCCTGGAGCTCGGGGGCCGTGCAGCCGCCCGCTCGCCCCGCTCGCCCGCCCCTTCCTCCAGGGCGGCCCTCACGCCCCATTGTTGGCTACGGTGGCGGGCGCTTCCCGCCGAGCTAGGCCGCGCGTGTGCGGGGCGGGGAGAACGGGCCGCCGCGCCCCCCTCCCCCGCCGCCCGCCCGAGGGTGTAGGGGGGGGAGGAAGAGGAGGAGGAGGAGGGGGGAAGAAGAAGCCCTGGCTGGCCCGGCGCGCGCCCGTTCGCCCGCCCGCCCGCCTCCTCCTCCATCCCGGCCCCGGCCGCTTCGGGTTCCGATTCCTCCCCGTCGCTCCATTTTGTGTCTCGGTCCGCGCACGGTCGCCCCCCCGCCATGGAAGGCCGCGTTCACAGCCCTTTGTATCCCGCGCGCCCGGGTAGGGGGGCTCCTGGGCTTCCCTTCCTTGCTCGCGTTGGCGACGGGTGTCGGCGTGGCGTGGCGCCCCCGGGTCCCGCTCTTCCCATCCCCCCCATCCCCCCTCCAACCCCGGTCCCCTAGGGGGAAGGGTGGCCGAGGTGGTGGGGACGTCTGCAACAAGTCACCTGACTTTGGGACCCCCACCGATGATCTCGTTTTTCAAAGTCGGTGCGTTGGCCTGCCTGGGCCATCGTGGGCTCGCGGTGCCTCCGAGGCCCAGGCCCTTGCTTGGCCTTTTGTGAAGAAATATAACCGAGGAGGATAGATAGATGGCTTGCGCCAAAGGCTGGGATGCGCGGTGGTTGGACAGAACAAAAAGATGGTGGTCCCTCGCTCACAGACCCGGAGAGACTGAAACGGAGATCGTCCCCCCCGAAATCCTTCCCAGTGGTAGCTTGCAAAGTCGTCGTGGATGGGGCTGTATTTTGAAAGCGAAGTGTTTGCCCCATGGGCTCTCCTTCACGGCTTGAAAGACTGGAGAAAGTGAGACGTGTAAGGTTTTCCGGTCTCACCGGCCACGGGTAGCCTAGGACTAGCCGTGATGTCTGACGATGAACATTCTTGGAAAGATCTGATTACCAGAGTTGGTAACGCTTAGCTTCCTAACTCGCCTCTTCCTATTTTTATTGCACTTCATATATTCACGTTTTTTCAAGTTGCACCCAACGATAGTGCTACTTAAAGCTGTTTCTTTTTAAAATTTTTCCTGTTTTTTTTTAAACAAAAACAGTTCTATATTTAAGAAGTTCTCAGGTTCGGATGAGAAGCTTAATAAGCCATTTGATTAATATGGTGTTTACCTTCTGCTAATCGTATTTATGACTAGGGATGCAAGATTTAAAAAACAAAACAATAGAAACTCTTAAATCCTTACTGTTTTGTTTTCCAAGAATGACATTGTGCCTTTGGTTTAAATATGAGAAAAGAAAAGCAAATTTTGAAAGGGTTTAATTATTCACTACTGACTTAGAAACTAGATTTTTTTTTTTTTTTTTTTTTTTGGTTTTTCGAGACAGGGTTTCTCTGTGTAGCTTTGCGCCTTTCCTGGAACTCGCTTTGTAGACCAGGCTGGCCTCGAACTCACAGAGATCCTCCTGCCTCTGCCTCCCGAGTGCTGGGATTAAAGGCGTGCGCCACCACCGCCCGGCGAAACTAGATATTTTTAAATGTAATTAACCCGTTGCAATAAAACATGAAGTTTGAAAATCTGTTTTTATCGTGCCTGAGTTGTTATATCAGTTAGAATTAGAAATTTTCTTTGACCCAGAGTCCAGTGCTTTTAAGGTCAGTCGGAGTAAGATCTCTGGACTTTTTCCCTTTCATCTTTCAAGGCATGTAGCTTATCCAAAACAGTTATAACTTCGACTAAAGGAAAAAAAAAAAAGTTTGAGACGGTCTTGATTAGCTTTTTCAGTGAGGGAACGTGTTGCTTTGTGTTTGTGCTCACAGTAAGGAAGAATTGGGGCACAGTCTTAGAAATTAAACTTTCTTCATTGGTCATGGTGGCACAAGCCTTAAATTCTAGCACCCCAAAATTGTGCTTTATCAACATGAAAGCTTTATAAAACTATGCCTATTTTAAGTAGTAAATGGAAAAACGAGACTAGTGTCCACAAAGAATTTCAGAGAATACAAAGTACAATTAAAACTGCAGCTCACAATAGAGAACAAAAGATGGGTTTAGGGGCTGGAGAGGTGGCCCAGTGGTTAGAGGACAGATGATCTCTGAGTTCGAGGCCAGCCTGGTCTCTGAGCTCTGAGGGAGGGAGGGG